GTCTTTTCTCCTGTAAATAAAAAACATATATTCAAACTTTTTTTATATTGGTAACGTTTAAGTACATAAAGAAGCAGAATCCTTATTTAAAACCAGTGTTGATGAACAATGTTGGAAAATTAATCTTTTCATCCATTTAATAACTTTCTGTAGCTAAATGACACGAGTGAAAAAAAACACCCTTACTGACATGATTGATTAGTTTTCTTGTTTGTAGATGAAAATGAAGATGTCAAATCACATTCCAGCAGAGAAAATGTCCGTTAATGGTGTTTTTCGCCCTGCAAGTTTGAYGTGGTCGAGGGCTGATTTGTTGCATCTTAGATGGAATTAGAAAGAGGAGACGGGGGTTCTTGCTGTCATCTGCTTCGACAACAGAAACGGCTTAATCAATGAGTGCAGGACACAGGGAATTCACACAAATGGAGGTCATAATTCTTCATTTTTGTTTTGTGTCAGCCTCTTGTTTCTGTCTGAGGGGGCTAATTGAAGACAATAAGAAAATAGAATTGGACAGGAGCCTGGGTTTCATGTAGACAACACCTCGTTATGTTTTTCCCAACAGGTCAACACAAAGCTGACTGACAAAGAACAGAGAAACAAAGAGAAATACAATAAAGAGGTAACAATTTAAAAGATCCTGGGACATCCGTTGAGGAGAGAAATCCAATGCTGGTCCCATATGCAGGCAGYATTAACAGACAGTGAGTTACTGCTTATAAACCTCTGTCTGTAAGAGACAGATGGAATAAGTGAGGACAGTGCAAGAGCTYGGGTCAAAGGTGACAGTGCATTCTTGGTTTAAGTGAAATCCGTCTCTCAAAGTGCTGATGTGAGCACATTTTTCTAATATGGCTACAATCCGCAAGATTGTATTTGAGTGATTTTAATCTGAAAAGGGCAGAAATCCAATATCAGTGGCAGCTCACTGTGAGAGATGAGTGAGGCGAGTTATGGTGTTTTTCAGACACATAAGATTTGTGGAAAATAGGAAACTACTTGCTGTGATCCTCTGGTGGCAGATTGCCAGTGGAAAACACGTTTTCTTGCTGACTGACTCGCCTACCCACATGGATTAGAGCTGCTTCTGATGCAATCAATAACACCTTTGTGTCCCATGAAGTCCCAAGGATAGTGTGCGGCTGATATCAAATGATCAYTGTCTAAATGCCCATCACAACCTGGTGGTGATGAATCTACTCACCTTGCATTGCAAAATGAAAAATGCTCAGTCAGATTCGAATCACTCTGCAGATGCAAAATTATACAAAAACAAGACTGATCACATACGGCAAGGAACGTCCGAGGAAACCTTTTGATCTTAAGACATTTTTAGATGCTCTAATTCAACTTTACTGGACCACTGTATGCACACAAAGCTCAAACATATTCTTCAAACGGACTTTAGATGTCCCGTGGTTGGTTGTAAATCCTGTGATGCGCTTCAAGTTGCTCTCAAGGGGAGACAGAGGTAGAAATAGAGCAGGGAGCAGCCRAAGAGAAAAAAAGGCATTAATGGACAAATGAAATAGAGGCCAGGGATAGTGTATGCAGCCCGTATTTTGTTTGGAGCTCTGGGAGGCTTGCTAATAATGATAAAGAGTCAGTGCTRCTCCATTTGTGGCATGAGAGGGAACCTGCATGTGGACACCATCATAACTCAGGCCTTTCATCCATTCACATGAAAAATCCACCCTGTCATCAGCACTCAGAAAAGATTCGACAACACGGGGTAATGTGACAGAAAGCCGCACACACTCGAATGGATGCACATGCACTCATGTGACTCATACGGACCAAAAGACAAACACAGAACGAGCACACAGATGCACACTGTCTGGAAAGCATTATTGTAATCCTGATAGATGGATGGACTCTTCAACACCTGTCTTCCCTGGTTACTRTGTCCCTACTTATTTTCCTTTTTCATCTAATCTCCCTTCAGAGTTTGATGCAGCTCTTCCTTGTTTAGAGACTAAATATARAGATGAGCAAGAAATTTAACATCACTTGTTGGCTTCATTGCCAGTTTCCAGTTTAGAGTTACAGTTTATAGGTTAAGACTTTTTAAATAATGAGCATTATCTTACAGCATTACGTACCTTGMTTCCAAAAAAACTGCTAACAAGAGAAACAAAATATTGTAATCAATTAAAAGGAAAAAAAGCCACCCTAAACCATCATAAAAAACACTCCAAATGTTATATTTTTAGAGTAGAAGTCTTCCTGTTTTGCTCCAGACAACAGTATCTAGTACTTCTTTTTCCTTCTGTTTGTATCAGTGGTACAGACATGCATCACACATAAAGGTTTTTTGTTGTAAGGAAAATCTTAAAGGAGGTTCTAAAAACACAACAAGCCTCTCAATTTAGTATTATAAAAGTGACAGCATTTGTCAAAGAGA